ATTCAATACCTTGCTCTTCTGTCTTGTTTATCCTGAATTTTCTCTACTGCCTTCTGAAGTACCAAAATGGTTGGACCAGGGATGGAACTCAGTGGCGCTGTGCCTGCCTTGGAAGAGTTAGGTTCTAAGTTCAGTCCCCAGTACTGGATTTTAAAAAAAGAAAAAGTACGTAAGTGGCTTTAAGCTTACTCTGAAACTGATTGATTCCCTAAATGAATAAATGAACAGAGGATTCTCGGTAAACATTTCTATCAAATGGTAAAATTTTATAAAAAGTGCTTCAATAAAATCACCAGATTTAACTATAAAATCAAATGAATAGTTACAATAAATTTAAAAACCATGTATTATATGAGTAAGGGAAAAATAATTCCAAATTGACAGATTTTCTTATGTACCAGCCAGAAGAGTGAATGAGTTCGTACTAGGGAGGAGAAATGCTAACTTCATTGTGATATTTGACTGACTCACTACCAGTCTCCTTTTCATAATCAAATCAAGAAAGATCAGTCTGAACCCAGGGCGTAAAGACCAACACTGCAGACTTAGCTGCTACCTGACAAATACCTTTCTAGCGGACACCTGGGAGGGAGATTGCCTCAGAGCCCTCCGGACCTCCTCTTGGACTCATCAGAAACAGATTCAAATGCTTAAGAAACCTTTGCAGAAACATAATAGTATTGTATTCACCTAGACTCTAAATTTACTTCCTAAGGTATCACGGGCATACCTTATCCGGGGACCAAAAACTAAAAACATTATACATACGCAGAGTGACAGAGTGTATTGTCATATTTCTTTTCCGTGAGCCATCAAATTATTTGGCACTCGTTGAGTTTGTTTATCCAGAAAATAAGTAGAAATGTTGGCTTGGCCCTGAGTCAGTGAGGTAAATATTTTTTAAAGAAGCATGTCATTGACATAATATTTTATTTTTTTTCAAATAATGTTAAAGTCATTTTGCCCCTAAAGGAGTGAAAGATAATTTGGATGCAAATAATTTGCTTCTTTATATACGTCCAAAGGTTTGTATGTTTAGTCCATTCCACAGAAAACAGAAAAGAGATTTCTTAGAACTTTTTTTTTTTTTGGTACTAGGGATGAAACTCGGATCCTTGCGCTTACAAAGCAGGCCCCAGAAACACTGAGCTAAATCCCTGGCCCTCTTATAACTTTGTATTAGTTCAAGGCTAAATATTTTCCCAACTACATTTGCTTTTTAAAAAAAAAAAGCAAGTTTCAGGGTTGAATTTTATCGAAAAGGATTTATGAGTCTCAATAACTAGAGTAATGCAAACACTGAATTTATCGATTAAATTCTTCCCAAATTATATAACAAAAATGTAGAGGAAGTGGCCAGACATTTGGTTATAGAAGGTATTTAGCCATGAGTAAAATAGAAAATTCAAATAAACTTTGCAAAAACAAACATGCAACATCATCCCTCCCGTGTATCTCAGAAACAGTCTGTTATGAGAACGTTGTTGGACTTGCAACCCCTCAGAACAATATTCCAACAGAGGGATCAGTTGGAAGCTCTTCATATAGCATCTGCTCTGTGTTTATAGCTACATATGCAGACTGCTGAAAACCCTCTGTGCACCATAAATGTAGGAAACCACACATCCAGAATGGTAATAAACTCATCAGGCAATGAATGCATTCTCTAGAGTTTTCAACCCCCTTGCTTCGGTTGGCACAACTCCGCTAGATTTTTATTGCTGCAGAAAATATTAGATTGTTTGTGGCTTTTGTAACTTTGGAGATAAACCAAGAAAGCATAAAGCGGCAATAAAGAAAGGTAAAAACATAGGCACTGAGATTATTGTAATATTTTAAAGTTACAGTCTCATAGAGAAGTACAACAGAAGAAAGAGCAGAATAAATGAGAGGAACGAGTAAACAAATTATTGTTACCCGCAGAAGTTTAGCCCCAAATACCCTCTGTGGGTGAGCTCATATATTGGAGCATATTGGAGAAGCTACACATTGCACTATGAATACCGTAAGTTATAATTATTAATTAGAGAGCTGGGGATTTAGCTCAGGGGCACTGCACTGCCTTGCAAATGCAAGGTCCTGAGTTCAATTTCCAGTACCAAAAAACAAAAAACAAAAAAACCCCCACAAATATATATATATATAATTATTAATTAGAACTAGATTTCTTAACATAATCAGATAATGTTAAATTATAGTTAATAGTTTAAAAACAATTTACTGGTAAAATGAGCACTTTCAAGACAACCAATTCAGTTAATTAAAACTAAGTTGATTTGTCTCACAAATACAAGATACCAAATGAAATTAAATTCTAAATTGAAAGCAGTCAAGGGGATTTTTCTCAGATTATGAAGAAAGCAGTTCAGGTGTGGGAAGGTGGTGAAAATGTATAACAATGTCTGGCTGCTCAGGGTTGCAAAGCATCCTTAACATGACCTTAAAGAGTCCGATCTTTCTCGGCATTAGGCACTGCATATTACTCATTAGTTACAGTTCTCTAGGAGAGGTGCCTGCATCCACCTGAACCTAAAACCACTGCGAGACTTTTCCAACTTTTCCAACATTTTTTTAGCACCAATACAATATAACAAAATTCTCTAAGTTCCCAAAAGGAAAACTTTCAGGAAGGACTTAGGACCAAAATCATATAGAAGTTTCTAAAGAACCAAAAATAAAGACAGAAAAGTTAGAAGCACGGTGTTAAATAGTGGTGGATGGTGTAATGGAACCCTCTGAAACCCCCTGACGTGAGGCCACAGAGGGAATCTCTGACTCCCTACGAACCTTTCAGTCCAAAGCGCTTCTACTTCCATTTAATTGTGCTTTCTCTCATTCCTTCCCTCTGGATGAAAAGTGCCATGATGCTACTTTACATCTATACACCGCGGTCAATGGGCTATTGTTTGTTTCTTTTTAAAAATGTTTATGGCAATGCTTTTTCCGGGGCAGGGGTTATTGACTAGAATGAAAAATTATGGCAAAGAGGGAAATATCAGTAAGCAACTATTATGATCAGCATCCTCTAAAGGAAATTGAATTGATATACCAAGAAGTAACCCCAAATTATGGGCTTCATCAGATAAAACGTAGACATGACTCTGCTTGAAATTTTTGAATTTCAAAGTTATGTTTTCTCAAAGATTTATCAGATCCACAAAGTATATGGTTGTGTAAATGATGCCCGTTTCTGCTTGGCACATAAATATACAAAGCCTAGGGTTTTAATGCATGTAGAATTTTGGGCATATGTTAAAAATAATTCATATTGGTTTAAGACCTAGGAAAAGAACAGTTAAGTAGAATTAAATTTAAAATTGCCAAAATTAACAACAGCTTAGTTTTTTTCACCTACAGAGTATAGGAAAATACCAGCCATCCTCTTTACCTTTCTGGTTCAGGTGAATGCAACAGTTATAAAATTCCATATATAAGCTTGCATATATATGTATGTATATATATA